CCCTAGTGTGTTTGTGTGTTGATAGGTTTACACAAAGATAAGGTGGAGTTATCTGTTCAGTACTTCCCCAGTGTTAGAGGTGCTGGCCATCTCCACATGGTATTTCCTGTCCTTACAGTACTTATCTCTACAAGCAGGTTCTGTGGGGAGTAGACCCCATATCACCTGTTTGCATTACAAGCTTACATCCATATTTTTCTGATTTCTTATCTTTAATATGAAGAGGACACATTTAATTTCAGATGTAAATAAGTCTTAACTAATGCTTTTAGAGAAAAAAAATTATCAAGAATTTTCAAGTTTATAATATTCACTGATCTTGGAGAAATCTTGTCTTTAACATGATGGTCATAGATCTAGAGCTCAAGTAATATAGTACCTTTCTGTAACATACACTATTAGTTATAGGTGTAAGAGGCTGACAACTAGATTTACAATAATGTATGATAGCAGTTATATGTGAAGGAGGAGACAGACAACTAAATTTACTTTAACATATATTATAAGTTATATGTGAAGGAGGCTGACAACTAGACTTAGAGTAGCACATAATATCAGTTATATTGAATATGTGTAGGAGGCTGACAACTAGATTAACAGTAATATATAACATGAGTTATATGTGTAGGAGGCTGACAACTAGATTAACAGTAACATATAACATCAGTTATATGTGTAGTAGGCAGACAACTAGATTAACAGTAATATATAGCATCAGTTATATATGTAGGAGGCTGACAACTAGATTAACAGTAACATATAACATCAGTTATATGTGTAGGAGGCTGACAACTAGATAAACAGTAATATATAACATCCATCAGTAATATGTGAAGGAGGCTGACAACTAGATTAACAGTAACATATAATATCAGTTATATGTGTAGGAGGCTGACAACTAGATAAACAGTAATATATAAGATCCATCAGTAATATGTGAAGGAGGCTGACAACTAGATTAACAGTAACATATAACATCAGTTATATGTGTAGGGGGCTGACAACTAGATTAACAGTAATATATAACATCAGTTATATGTGAAAGAGGCTGACAACTAGATTAGCAGTAACATATAACATCAGTTATATGTGTAGGGGGCTGACAACTAGATTAACAGTAATATATAACATCAGTTATATGTGTAGGAGGCTGACAACTAGATTAACAGTAATATATAACATCAGTTATATGTGAAAGAGGCTGACAACTAGATTAACAGTAACATATAATATCAGTTATATGTATAGGAGGCTGATAACTAGATTAACAGTAACATATAACATCAGTTATATGTGAAGGAGGCTGACAACTAGATTAACAGTAATATATAACATCAGTTATATGTGAAGGAGGCTTATAACTATATCAACAGTAACATATAACATCAGTTATATGTGTAGGAGGCTGACAACTAGACTTACACAAATGCTAATTATCTGTTATATCTTTAGAAGACTAGCAACAAAACGGTGGGGTAATGGCTGTAACTGTGATGGGTGGGGTGGAGGGTGGAGTAATGGCTGTAACTGTGATGGGTGGGGTGGAGGGTGGGGTAATGGCTGTAACTGATCGGTGGGGGTGGAGGGTAGGGTAATGGCTGTAACTGTGATGGGTGGGGTTGAGGGTGGGGTAATGGCTGTAACTGTGATGGGTGGGGCTGAGGGTGGGGTAATGGCTGTAACTGTGATCGGTGGGGTGGAGAGTGTGGTATTTGGCTGTAACTGTGATGGTTGGGGATGATGGTGGGGTAATGGCTGTAACTGTGATCGGTGGGGTGGAGGGTGGGGTAATGGCTGTAACTGGGGTGGAGGGTGGGGTAATGGCTGTAACTGTGATCGGTGGGGTGGAGGATGGGGTAATGGCTGTAACTGTGATCGGTGAGGTGGAGGGTGGGAAGAACATTCAGCCAAATTTCTGATTTAAATTTATCATCATACTTTTAACTTCACATGCCAATTTTGATATCATCAGCATATTTAAGTGCTGTGCAGGTCTTTCACAGTCCCACTACTTGAAATGTTAAGCCTGTTTTCCCATGCAGAGTCAGGCTTGCTGTATAGGAAACTGTACAAAAGACCTTGTTAGGTTTTTCAAAAGAAATACAAGTGATGTGTCTTCTGTATAGGTACGACACTTGTTGCCAGTGTGGACCTGATTTTATCAGTTTGTTACAGTAAAGGATTACAGAGGAGGTTTACCCTGGAGATGATTCCTTGCCTTTTGAATCCTCCATGTGCTAGGACACATTAACAGACATGGGTGTCTTCATTAACTCTCTAAAATCATCCTCATTAACTCATGTAAATATTATCCTCAAAAACTCAATACTATTGTTTTATGTTATGGATATAATCAAGTACCTGTTGATGTACAATTTAAAAATTGCCCCAAATTGTACCAAGATATGAGAGTATTGGTTAAGTACCGATTAATTAACCCACCTTTTGTATAACAGATATATGACATGTTCAGCAATAAGCCCGTCCTAATATATCACAGATATATCTCATATATTCAGTAATAAGCCTGTCTCAATATATAACAGATATATCACATACGTTCAGCAATAAGCCCGTCCCAATATATAACAGTTATAACATATGTTCAGCAATAAGCCTGTCCCAATATATAACATCTATAACATATGTTCAGCAATAAGCCAATCCCAATATATAACATCTATAACATATGCTCAGTAATTTGTCCACCCCTTTTATATAGCAGATATTATGAGGGTCACTTCTGGAAATCCTCTATTGTCTATGAAGTCACATTCTGGTATAGGCCCAGTACTTATACCTTCTGTTTAATGACTTGCCTCTCTAGGTTTATCACAGATAAATAGGATAAATCTGTATGCTAGGCCGACATCTAGGTCCAAATGACCTTGTCATAACAAGAAATGACATTTTGTATGCCTATGATAAGTGTGAGGAATTTTAATTACAGGTTAAAAAGTACATATTTGATAACAATACAAGCCCAATGAAAGTTGTACATGTCATCTAAACTTCTAATTTTGGAAGTTATTCGAGTAGTTTTGAGTTTAATGGGTTTTCTCTGAAAATATAAAGTACATGTATATCACAAACAGGCATTTGATAAATAAAGAGTGAAACTTGAGGCTGTGGAATTTGAGTTTTGACATGACCAGATGGATGTGTATCAGTGTGGGGATCTATACTGGGATACATGCATGCTCCTTGGACCACCCAGGGACCATGCTGATGCACCTATAGTGTCTAAGTGTTCCTCAGGGTTTTAATTTAAGTGTAAATTAAAATGAAATCCAACAATATAAGAGGCAGTCTGGGTCGGTGGTAGAACAGGTTCCTGCTGTAGGGCTCTGTCTATGTGTCTGTCAATCAGACACTGTATCATGATAATTCCAGTCTATCCAGCTGTACAGTTGCGTACCAACATGAAAGGAAGTATATTGTGAGAACAATTTTTTTTTCAAAAACTAAAAAACTACAAAAATTAAAAAACTACTTTCACTGTAGCTTTATGCTACAGATGCTGGGACAGGCTCAGGATATTACTGGCATAAAGACTGTGAAATATGTTCAACATGTTTTGATTTGGTCTTTTATTTGCATCACTGGTGTTTTATTGTATTAAAAGTGTAGAACAGACACAAATATCTTGTACAGGAAAACAAACCTGTAGTAGCCAAAAGCAAAGTGTTTGTCGTGAATCTGTATCATAATGAACTGACAAAAATTATGTCCATCATCTGTATTATAAGGCAGTGTTGTTCCTAAATTTGTATTAGAAGATGAAGTGACATTGGAGCCAGAATTTACTTTCTAAAATACAATAATACAGGAATGATAATAAAGTATTCAATCACAATCAAATGAGATGCCAGGATTCCTACTTACCAAGAACCGGGGGAGAAACAAATTTGAGAAAAGGATTTCAAGAGACCTTTGTAGGTAGTTATCTGTGACTTTAGTGTGATTTATTTGTAAGGTCCATACAAATGTAGGTGTTTTTACCTCAGACATCTTTTTATTGTATTACTTGGTAACTTGTATCACTTGATTTAAAAACTTTTGAAATTTGGTTTTTGTCACAGAAGCGTCTTCTTGTATTATAAAATAATACGGTTATCAGGATTTTATTCAAACTTCTGATATCTTGCCTCCCGAATTTGAACATGCATGTAGCTGATAGGTGATTGATTGTGAGTGTTGGTGATGGGTGGGTGTAGGAGGGATAGAAATTATCTATGAATGGTGTTATCCGGGACAACATTCCTTCATGGGTGGAAAACTGATAGAGAGGCAGTGGAGCTCATTAGGTAGAACCCACTATCTATCTCCCCTTATCAACTTCTTCAAACACTCGCTAACAGTATGTGATAATGTCTCTCTATTAATAAACCATCGAGATAAAAAAAATATACAAATTTTGGACCGCAGGGAACATATTATCTGGTATGATTGACTAACTTGAAGAAGTAAAACATGTTTTTAATGATCTGAAGGGGCCTACAAGATTAGTCGACTAAAAGTGTAATTTATTATAGAGTTCGATGTAAACAGGACTTTTCCTTGCTACATACGGAACAAAAATCGGCTTTGTTATACGCAGCAGATTCTGCTAAACATGTTAATGGTATATTGTTTACTGTCAAGCTTGAAAATCAAACTAACTCTACCCTGTTAGTCCTACAATCCAGCCAGTGTTTTAGATAAAAGTCACAATAATATGGTACATGATACAAGAATTGAGTACTCGCACCACTCCTTCCCCCACAGGATTTTTCTGTCAGCAGCAAAACATTCTTGATTTGTAATCTAGATAGAAATTTGTATTTTTATATTATCAGAATTTGTATATAAATTTGTCTTTTCATATGTCCATAGTTTGCATATGAAATTGTATATTCATATTTTCAGAATTTGCATACAAATTTGATATTTTCATAATCTACAGGAAATGTTCAAATTCTGCCCAGTATTGACCTCCTTGTCTGTTTTGTATTTCACAGAACCTACAAGGATCCATCCAGTTTCCGAGGTCACTACTAAACAACACCGGTGAGGTACAGACAGACACCCTCAATCTCCAGTTCATACTATACAAGGAGACCAAGCTCTTCCCCATCACCACTCCGTACCACGAAGACCCAGCCATTGGAAACCACACCCGAGTTACCATCGTGTCCAGCGTTCTCTCTGCTAATGTCTGTAAGTGTTCTCAGTGCCCAGTTACATTTACCTGTCAAGTCAGTATAATTTACCTGTAACACACTTAGATTTACCTGTAGCACCTGAGTAGATTTACTTGAAAAACATTGTTAGATTCACCTGTAATTCCAGTAGAATTTACCTGTAATACCTGAGTAGACACTCTGCAAAATTTATCTACAACATAGCAAGATTTGTCTGTAACACACAGAAAGATTAACATGTAAGATCGGCGTAGTTATACTTTTAACACCCAAGTTGATTCACCTGGCTGTAACACTGGAGTAGATTTACCTGTAGCACCTGAATAGATTTACCTGTAAAACCTGAATAGAATCACCTGTAAATGTCCACAGAAACTCATTGGTTAGTTTCCACTAATATTCAATAAACTTATCCCTAGATGAGGAGAAACAGGGTCTGTACTCAAAGGGACTGACTCCTCAGGGGCTATGAGACCGGGGCTGTATAGGCAGTCACAGAATCCAAACCCTTCAATTGACAGCTCATCTGAATTGTACTGGTTGATTTAGAATAATATTTCTTAAAACGACCGTGAGATGACTAAAGAAGGGTCTTACTCCCTAGGGTGTTAAGGGGTAGGGCTCTAAGGAGTTCACAGATTGCAAAAATTCACATGGTATCTTCTCTGAACTAACGTATGTCTGTTTGACTTTACAGCTACTCCTGTCAAGAATCTAACAGACCCAATTGTCCTCTTCTTCAAAGTCAAGCGACCGGCAAAGAATCTGGTCGCAGCCTACTGGGACTTTGAAGCCAATGGTTGGTATTCTCTTATTGTACATATAGACACAATTATGGGATTTCATTTAGACTATTGTATATCCACGTAGTGTTTAGAATCAGACATTAAATCAGTAACTGTTACAACTGTTAAAGGGAAGTAACCATGAACTAAGCTCCCAGTCCTGTATTCCACAAGTATTTGTATAACCTTGTGTTAGTATAAAATACAGCTTTCTGCTACTGTATATATACAGATGCAGTAATTAATTTTATGAAATAATTTTATAATATTGTTTCTTTCAATATTATTGCAGTAAATTATAACCACTATGACTTAACAAGGTTTAGGGATGTTCCGGTGTCTTGACCACAACATATTAGCTCAGCAAAATAAAGTTGCAGTTTTCATTGAAATTTGATGTTTGCTTAAAACAAGCCTATCACGTGGTTACAGATGGCTACGGTGACTGGAGAACGGACGGGTGCCAGATCATCCCAGACCCCAACGTAACTATCGTTCACTGCTTCCATCTCTCCATCTTCACCATCCTGGAGGTAAGTAAAACCAGAGGAAACTTTGTACTTTGTCCTTCAGTCAGTCAGTCAGTCAGTTCCCCACTGGTACCACCAGAAGGGACTGAATGTTGACACTGTTGTCAGTCTATGTGTCACTTGGCCAGGGCATATCTCATTAAACTCTGTGACATGCATTTGCTGTATTTTGTATGGAAAAAGAAATAAAAAAGAGGACTTAATAAGAAATTAGGTTTAAATTGCCTGCCTGCCTGCCTGCCTGCGCCTGCCTGCTTGTACCAGGTAATATTTGATGTTTTCTTGCCACCAGGTGAACAGCTCAAGTGAGTTAGACATGGGGATGATGTCGGGGACCCTCCACCTGCTCCCCTACCCTGTCTACGTGGGTAGCTGTATCTGTCTCATCTGTCTGATGGCCGTCATCATCACCTACGTCTCCTGCTTCAGGTACGTGTACTCTAACAACAGGTGAATCAAATCATCTACAGTTGTGTTTACTTGTGCTAATTTGTTTATGGCTGTACTTTTCATTTGTTGATGGGTGTACTTTTCAACTTGTGCGCCTACCTCTCTATTGAAGCATATCATATTTCTGAACACTGCTGTATAATGGAAAATTTTCACCGCAGTTTATCTTTTGCCTTTGTCACCGCCTGAAATGAGGGCAAATTTATCATTTTGGCCAATATAATTAAAATAAAATGTGAAGGGCGACATTTAACACTAATTGAATATGGGTTGTACAGTCGTAGGGTGAAAGTTTTTTCGGTATGTTGTATGGTTGGAAACAAAATTTTCAGATACTGATAATCACATTTAAAGTGAACAGACACGTCAACAGGTAAGGTAAGAAGACATGTCAACAGGTATATTTTAACGAGTTAAAGGTCAACAGGTGTAAGTTAATTTATTCATGGAACTAAGTTTTTTTTGCTACCAATGTTAGGAAATCGTAAGAAAGATCTTGCCGCAGAATATTGTGAAAAACACCACAAAGTTGTATGACAGCCACAAGGTTTCCTGGGTTCTAGAGTGACTTTAGTTTAACCCAGTTCTGATTCATTTTGCAGATTTATCAACGTGCCTAAGAAACTGAAGCACTCGGTGATCAACATCTGTATCAGTATTCTGCTGTTACTGATTGGGTTTACCATGGGAGTGAAGCGTACAGACCACCACCTCGCCTGTCAGATCGTGGGTGTGGGCATCCACTACCTCACCTTGGTCGCAATGTTCTGGATCACCATCACGTCATAGTAAGATGTTACGCATAAATAGTCGACAGTAACTAGCTATCACAGTAGTACTACAATTACTGGAAAACTATAGCTACATATGTATCACAATAGTCACGAGACTTGTGGTACAGTCATGATACTGATGTGGTAGTTACGAACATTGATTTGCTGTAAATCCATGTTAAATAATATTCTGTAACACATTCAAGAAACGTTTCCCTCTTTCAAATCGCTGATGTTGATAAGTCATATAAATAAGGCCTTAAAAAACATAAAAAAGGCTACTTATTAAAACCATAAATCTAAGTTTTATTTTCATAAATTCAATGTATGTAACACAGGGGTGGATTTTATCTTTATTTCAATTCATGCAAACAAAATATTATTACTTTTTACTTTTTATGCATATAAAAAAGAAAGATGTTGATAAGTCATATAAATAAGGCCTTAAAAAACATAAAAAAGGCTACTTATTAAAACCATAAATCTAAGTTTTATTTTCATAAATTCAATGTATGTAACACAGGGGTGGATTTTATCTTTATTTCAATTCACGCAAACAAAATATTATTACTCTCCTATAAATAGTCTAATAAAGATGATTTTATCAAAATGGTGAAATGTTGGACAAAAGACCATGATAGGGGAGATAACTGAAGCAGACCAAACATTTTACACTGAAAATATTTCACCAAAATGACATGACTTCTCTGTTAGACAATATTGGCAGGCTCTCAATCTATTTTTTTTGTTTTTCAGCAACATGCTTAAGAAATTCAACAAGATAAATAAGCCACCAGCCCCACCCCCAGAGCCAGTGGCCATGCCGTTACCCCCAAAACCAATGTTACGGTTTTATCTGTTGGCCTGGGGGGTGCCACTCATTGTGTGCGGCATCACTGTAGCTGTCAGCATTGATCATTACTCGGAGCCCGAATAGTAAGTACTGTTCCAGCTTTAAATCTTCAAACTGTAAACCATGATGAACCATTTGTGAAGGTTAATAGATTGAAGATAAAGATTAAATCATGTTAAGTTTAATGTTAGTTCTTAGATATAGATTTTGTTTAAATGATTTCATTACTTAAATTCATATATTGAACCTTTCTTGATAGTGACAAAATCACTTTCAGGTTAAATCAGCCTTTTATGCAGTAAAATTATAATTAGAATATTAAAAAGAAATATTTGTGTAAAGCTTGATGATAAATAGGATTTAACCCTTTCAACCCTATGTAACTTCAGTAGACTCTACCATGCATTGATATGGATGAGTCCATTATTGTCTACAGTGGTGAAAGTGATAAGCTGAATATTATATTTGTGTCACATTTTAAAATAAACCTGTATAAATAATGATGAATTATCTCCCCTTGACAGCTGTTTCCTGTCCTGGGACCCGAGTATTGGAGCATTCTACAGCCCTACAGGATTATTAGTGTTGTTCAACCTCATATTTTTCCTGAGAATTTCGCGTGTGATTCATAAGACCACAAACAACCTGAATGAGACGGACAATACAGAGGAAGTTAATGACATTGAGCTTACGCAAAGTCCAGACGATGGCACCACAGAAATACAGGCCCTGACCAGCACACGACGACCGCCGGAGGAGGACACAGAGTCGATCGCATCGAGTGTCATGGACATGGAGCGGCAGCCAATCACACAGCTGTACGCTGTGGTAGCCATGTTGTTTCTGTACATACTATTCTACACATGTGCGGGGTTTGCCGTTGCACAACCTTTCAAGACTATAATCCCACACCAGGAGCTTATATTCAGTTACTTGTACGGACTAACAAGTAGCGTGTTTGGAATATTTATGTTAGTGTATTTCTGTCTTACAAGGAAGGATTCGTGTTCTAGTTGGAGGCGGTTTTTCTTCTGTGATCAAAATCCTGTGTATGACGTGAATTATCAAGAGAATAATCATGTTGCTCTGTCGAATGGTCATGTGATCCATGCCAACAACGACATCGATATAGAAAATAAAAACTATAACATAACACAGGAGGTGACGGACGGGTCCGTAAAACAGTCTAACATAAACCTCATCCCGGCCGCGCCATTTCTCAGTGACAGGGAGAGCTCAGTGACAGAGCCCACAGACTCTAACATGCCAAGCTTTTATAATCCTAAACAAAATGGCATCGCAAAGAAATTCTGGGACAGACAGCGTCATCATTCAAAACTCATTACTAAAGAAATGACGAAAGATTTTAACGGCAGTGGCACCGATTATTTCTCGGGCTCAGAAGCCAATCACCGTGGAAACACTAGTGATATAAATACAGTGATGAGTATAGAAATACAGATTCAGCCTAATGGTGGATCAGGAAGATCCATCGGGATTTCTCCTCCGGCTAAATCTCAGCCCCTGTCTCAACTGAATCTGTACCCCACCCAGCTCCTACTACCTGCCATAAAGGGCTCCACCGGCCCCATTCCCAAGTTCTCTATGTTACCGTTGGATCGTAATATCATCCCGCCAGTGGGCGGGTCTGTGTCACCAATCATGGTGACTACAAGTCCGTGTTGTAGCACCGTATCTTACACAGGGTCACAGGTTGCCCCTGCCCACGGGCGGTCGCCCAGTGCCTGCTCCCTGGGAATGCGGCCCTACCCCAGTGCTTTTACCCCTGTGCCCCCACGTAACAATACCCTTCCAAAGCAGGGCAAAATTCCTGATGTACAAAATAACACTACTTCTACTAGTCCTACGCAAGACTACATGATGAGGAACGGCTCTGTGCCTCGCCTCCGAGATTTCGACGGTCAAAGTCAAATAAGTGATGCATGTCCTCGTGAAAAACAATGGGGTATGCAAGTGACAAATAATTACTTGAATAATAATCATCATAACAACAATCATGCTGCACCGGGGTACGACCCTCTGTCGCGTCTCAGTCCGCAACAAAAAGTGGGCTGTACCTATAAACAGTACGGCTCAGTGGATGAGCATATTACATCAGAGCGCCCTCCTCCAGCCTACCACTTCTCACGGGCGCGTTCCTCCTCCGGGGGGTACAGCTCTGATACAAGTGGGCGGATGCAACAGAATCACGAGCAATCGTTCCTCCAGGAAGTGCACCAGAGGATCCCATGTGATAACAGTAAAATGATAGTGCAGGATCAAAACCATACCCAGCCCCCCACATCACTGCCCCCCAATAACAAATCACCAGTGACTCCTGAAGTATGTAATAATGCCAATGGCAAAATCTTCACCACACACGATTCAGACAGTCAGATACATGTTCGTCGGAGTCGGGGCAATGACTCCGATCACAACTCGGAACCAACATCTCAAGCATCTCATCGAAGGCGACACAGGTCACATGACCCACAACACCGTCATTCAAAACATCATAAACAAAGTGCCAAGAAGCAGCATTCTTCCTCTGCTGAGTGGGAGGGTACAGCTCGCCAAAAAATGATACCGTACGCTTACGTTAACTACCACTATCATGACAGGGTGCGACAAAAACTGCAAAGGAAGCACGCGCCTCAAACTCGCGCGTACCCCCACCTCATGGAGGATTCTAGCTCCAGTAGTGACAGCGAAGGGCTGGATGACATTTGGGTGATGCAAGAGAAAAACAAGAAAGAAACCAGTGTGTAGCTATTATGGTTCCCCAGCATTATTTATTTCATTCGTTAGTTGTGTAAATTTGACGTCATCTCATTTTACGTTATGGTTGCCAAAGTCTTCATTTTGTTTTTATAAAAGAGATGAATAAAAACGATTGTATTTATTACTCTCATATAGTACGTATTTTGAATATGGTTGTATGTATGGCATGACACGTTTTTTTAACACAGAACTATGATTTTATATAATGTATTATTCTGTTCAGACCGTGTATGTCCGTGTGGGTCAGAAAGAAACATGATTTTATCAAATGTACAGACCATGTGTGTCTGTGTGAGAACTTGTGTGTCGGACAAATTAAACCACGATTTTATAGTATGTATCATTCGCTGTACAGACCATGTACGACTGTGTGAGTGTCTGTGTTGGATCGGCTGTCAGTACAACAGATATAGGAATGTGAAACGATTGGGCATAAACAAGCAATGATTTGTCGAGGTTTAAAATTCTTTGCCAATATATACAAGTTTTTCTTCTCTACCTCAGAATATTACTAACAGCTACTTCTAGCTATGATGCGTTCTTACACTGCTGCTGAAGCACTTATTTCTGCTCTTTGTATTTACCTTTAGGCACAGACTTGTTCAAACCATCTATATATTTTTTGTACGTTTGTATTACCAAATATTTGTGCGTGCTTAATTTGATAAGGTTTCTGGAATTATTTGATTTCCAGAGTTATATAAAAGAAAAGCACTATGGGAAAAAAGTTGTCATGCAAAAAGTGATTTCTTCAATTTGTTCTTTGCATTGCCAAAAACATTCTTGACATTACTATGAAGTGTACCTCGCCGTTTCAAGTTTTCTCTGGTTTAATATTGAACTTTCAATTTTATTTATTATTACAAATACTGTTTTTAGTGTGTATAACTTGGACATTGTCAAAGTAAAGAAAAACACATTGCCAAAAACAAATGATTTTTTTTCTTAAAGGCATTAAAAATGATGATGTTGTATAAAATACATTACAGAGACTGGTACCTTTCTCTATAGCATTAATATTTCATGCAGCCCTTATAAAAATATAATATCAGAAAAACATGCTGATCCATTGCCCTTCTGTGGCCTTTTGAAGGAATTAAAACAAGATAGTTTGTCCCAGTGACATTAAAGTGCTATAAAATATTTTGTATTTAACCATTAACACATTCACCCCTGAAGACACATTTGAACTTTTCCGATTCAAAGGTTGGAATAGTTCATTATGAAATTTCAGGGGTGAATGAGTTAAGACAATGCTCAGTTATAAACTGATGTTTCCATGGTTACACTAAAATCTAAAAAAGTAAGGATCATATCTGGATATAATCCTGTGCATATAGGATCAAACTCAGAAATAAGTTATGTGATCGATATATACACCCATCCCTTCCTTTAACTCATTCATCCCTGAAATTTCATAATGAACTATTCCAACCTTTGAATTGGAAGAGTTCAAATTTGTCTTCAGGGGTGATTGAGTTAAGAACAAATTAATGAGTTCGTCCATTCTACTATTTTATATTATACATTTGGCTAAGAACAAATTGAGGATCAAGTCCTGTTCTCTATTATACCCATCTTTTTTNCCCCACGCACCCCCAAAATCTAATCTAAAGACTAGTCACACTTGTAACACATGGTGATGGTATAATAATTAAGATAAAGGCATTACCCTGTGTGGTTCAGAATGTTTACTTGGTCAATGGTGCTGCTATAGTTTTGTCTCGGTATACAGTTCAGCCAGGAGTGTTTTGGTGCTAGGACACAGTGACTTTAAAAGCTTTAACCGTTTTATAATGAGTAGCGAAACTCAGTTTTTTTTCTTGTACGTCACATATTTATATTAATTGATCAGTGATACCTCATCAATCGTGTCTGTTGAAATTCATAAACTTGATTTCCTTTATCTTCATTTTCCGTTTTCATTTGCCTCCCATTCTTCAATCCAAATTGTTTTTAATAAACCGTTCAAATCCGTTCAACATATACCATCCCATAAAAGCAGTTATAATATCAGCATTAATACTTTACATGATTTTGATTATGACGTATAAATTGTTGTAACCAAACGCACTAGCTTAATCATGGCACAATATATCACTGCGGTTACCACGTCTCCTTCGATAGGCGATGTGGCTAAAAGTTGGAATTTTTGTAAATGTGACAGTAATGAAGCGTATGTAAAACAATTAAAACAAACAGTGATTATTAGATGCTTTAAGTTACTCATCTAAGAATATTTTAACACAGCGGTATGAGTTGCTACAAAGTGATTTATTTTAACTTAACCCTTTCACCCCCGTAGACCATAATGAACTCATTCATATCAATGCATTGTTGAGTCTACTAAAGTTACATAGGGGTGAAAGGGTTAAGAGGTGGATAGTTTTGATATTGATATGCTGATTTATGAATTTTTCAAAATCAGCTTGAAGGTAAGGTTTTTTTGTCAGTGGATTGCCATCCATTTATCCTGTAAGCTTTAAATAAATACCCATGGATGGTATTATGTAGTTTACATTTTTCTATCTTCTTTCCAAAGAGTTCCACACTAAAATTAACTCATTCACACCCGAAATTTCATAATGAACTATTCCGACCTTCGAATTGGAAGACTTCAAATGTGTCTTAAGGGGTGAATGAGTACATAAATGATAATTAATGCCATTTCTGGTTTTTGAAGAGAAATTACTTAACAAAAATCAAAGTCTAGTAACATGTCTGTGAATTTTATTGCAACGGTCTCTGCATACATAGCTAAAAGCGAATAATGTACAAATATAGCTTTCTATGAAGATATCGTTGGCCCTAGACATTGTATTTTGTCTTTGTACTTGTGGAAACAGTATAGCTAAAAGAAAGTGAGTGAAAAGTTGATACAATCAATTTCTCTTTTACTGATCGTTTAGAAAATGATTTTTACCTCCACTTTACCAAAATGGCGCTGTGCATACATATTTTTAGTAAAATGGTACCTTTATATAACCCTTTACCAAAATGGCACTGTGCATACATATTTTTAGTAAAATGGTACCCTTATAACCCTTTAGCAAAATGTCACTGTGCATAAATATTTTTAGTAAAATGGTACCTTTTGAACTAAGTTTTAATTTTGTAATCAGAATTTTATTTGTGCATATATACTTTTAGTAAAATGGAAGATTTTTAACACTTTACCAAAATGGCACTGTGCATAAATATTTTTAGTAAAATGGTAACTTTTGAACTTGGTTTTATATTTGCTATCAGGATTTAATTGATACCACTAAAAATTGGTAAATTTGAAATTCTATTCAATGATGTTTGTAATTTTTTTAATGCAGATGGTTATTGCTGTTGATCAGCAATTATGACTGATATAAGCTATATTAAAGACATATTTTTTAGATTTGTTAATTTTCATTGAAATACAATTTTAGTAACTGACTTTCTATATAGAGTACAGCCCAGGAATGTTGAATTGGAGATTTGTATGTCACTTTTATCCAACAATTAGCGATTCTATTGTTTAAAAAAAATAACGACAGGTCCAGCAACTCAAACAAGTATCAAGTGGGTATTCAGTCTTTGCGTAGTGCAGAGTTATCTTCTCTTGGGAGCAGGTATTGATTGTTATGTCATTGGTTTGTGTGAGAAAATTACGTCGTTTTTCTAAAAAATTGATGACGTTACTCTCACAAACAGGTGACGTAACAATCAATACCTGCTACCAAGAGAAGATAACTCTGCAATACGCAAAGACGGAATACCATGCGTGTACGAATTGACTGGACTTTTGAGATTATTCAGGTGCAAACTAAATGCAAACAAGCTTTATCTAATCAGAGTAAAGGTGTGTATGTCAGGTGTAAATGAAGTTTGTATGCAAATCATGTGGGAATTTTGTACATAGATGTTTAAGTGTAAGGTTTGTCAGAACTGTATATATTTGTATATGATTATATTATTTAACTGAGATGCTGCAATAAGGCCATCGTTGAAAAATTGTTTGCTTAGAGATGAGTACCAACAGTGATTAACATGTTAAAACCATTTCATCCCTAGGTAACTTTAGTAGACTCTACCATGCATTTATGGGGATGAGTCCATTATGGTCTACAGTGGTGAAAGGGTTAAAGCATTAAAAGATTTCATTTCTTTGCATTACTCTCCATATTAACAATCTAAATAAAGTATTTAATAAAATTGGTCTTGTTTTCATATAGAAACAAGTGTTCCAATCCATACAGACAGATTGGTTTCTTAAACAATAAATAAAGGTACCCAATTTTGCTACCTTTGTTAAGTGGTGTTACAGAAATGTCATTCACACATTTTGAAAGCTGGTTCACAGCTCACCTGGCCCCAGGATCATGAAATAATCTTAGACTTGATTGTTTGCTTAGCCAATCACATAACGGTATTTGTGATTGGTTAAGTCTAAACTTAAGACAATTTCAGTCTTAAGATCATTTAATGATCCTGGGGCTAGGGTCCCAGGGGTCAAGAGAACTGAGCTGTGGACCCATATCTATCCTTTAAAAACTTCTACGTTGACTGGGTAAAGCATAAACTATGGCCAAGGGGATTTGATGTTTAGCCAGTTTATATGCTGTAATTTATTGAAATCATAGTTGTGAAATTCAATACTTCTATGGGCAAAGATTGGGATGGAAATCATTTTAAGGTGCAAGTCTACTTCAAGCAATTAGTCAGCGTTGGCCTCGGTATAGATGTGGAAACAGTTTTAGTTTGAGTCAACATCGAACAATTAGTCGGCGTTGGCCTCGGTATAGATGTGGAAACAGTTTTAGTTTGAGTCAACATCGAACAATTAGTCGGTGTTGGCCTCGGTATAGATGTGGAAACAGATTTAGTTTGAGTCAACATCGAACAATTAGTCGATGTTGGCCTAGGTATAAGTGTGAAATAAGTGTAAGTTTGAAGTCAACATCAAACAATTAGTTGATGTTGGCCTCGGTATTGGTGTGTTATGGTAGGTGCAGGAAATACGAGATGACTTCACTCCTGGTTAATGAACTGTGCTCTAAAAGATTTTATATCCTCGCATATAAATTATAAATTTGAAATGATAAATGTGTGATATATACCTTAC